AAAAATAGCCTGCATTTCAAATTCTGAAAATTGGGCAAATTAAATATTGGTTGGCACAGCATGATCTGACTCTATCTTTCTGATTTTCCCACTTCTGCTTTTCCTCTAGTAATGGAGAGAAGAAAAAAAAACTATTCAGGTAAATACTTCCTGCCTCTTGGAGCAGAGTGAGCCAGGTGTGAGAAGGTTTTCTTATAGGCCTGCAATCTGATATCCCCATGGACACTGAATTATAAATGGAGAAGAGAGAACAAATAACCAAGAGAAGGTTCTTGGCAGCCATTGTTTGAAGTTCATGGTGTTACACAACATCAAGCATGTCCAATTCACCTGCCAGGAGCTATCTGATTCTTACTCTAGGGTTCCATTTTCCTACTTCGATCTCATCCAGCATCTGGCTGGGTGATGGTCCATGTCAGAAGATGTAGATCTTCTTTTTATTCCATTAAACTTTGGGATCTGGTTATGATATCATGCCTCATATATTTTCATCTACAAATGATCATATTAGCTGGTTATCTACTCCCGGCAGAACCTAGGGTTGTGCCGGGAAAGGAAATCGAAAAATCAAGATTGTATTAGTCTCTTAAGCCTCCAGTCTTTCTGTTCTCCTGGATCCGGGTAGACCCATCTCATTTGTCAGGCAGAATGGCATTAAGAATGCCACGCGCTATCTCAAAGGGGACACAGAGACTTCTTTACACTTAGATTGAATTTTCTCCACTCTAAGGTTAAAGAGGCAGAAGAACTGCTGTTTTAGCATTTACAGTGAAGCTCCAACTGAAGGACTGATTCAGTGGAGGTGCCCCCAGGAGGGCACAGACATGGGCGGAAAAAGGGTAAGTTCAAGGCATGGGTGAGCAGGACCATGTGATCCAAAATCCCAGCTGCTAAGCAGATTGATTTCGCTGCCTGGCCACATGGGGTGCCCTGGTGGACTGTCGACTGCTTTGCTTTTGGGAAGATGATCCTAATTTAAGCGGCTGAGTCTAAGTTATTAGGATGATTTTTTTAAAAAGGCATTTTCAAGCTAGTTCTTTAAATGATGTCTAGGATTTGCTTCAAAATAATCTAGGGGAAGGAAGAACAAAACGAAGGGATGGATGAGACAACATTTGTGAACTAACATGAACTGCTAATTGTTTAAACTCTATTCTGAGTGCATTCTCTGCTTTTGCCTATATTTGAAATTTTCCATTGTAAGAGGTTTTGAAAAATGAGACTGAGAGTCAGTGATCCAGAAACCTGACAGTTACTGGTTTCAACCCTTAGCTTTACCTAAAACCTCTTTTATGAAATAGCTAACAAGGAATGTTGTCTAATATCACTTTCTCTTTCCATGTCTCCCATCTTGTAATCGAGATATCAACAAACAGAATTGCCAATGGACAGCTGTGATGAGGGGGGATTGGATGAGGAGAGGTGTGCAGTCATCAGCCTTTATGGGATGGGCTTCCTGTAGCCTGGGTAAACCAGCACACATCGGAATGACAAGCTATGGAGTGTCTTGCCCTGGGCTGCTACACTCTCCTCTGTTCTTGTGGTTGCAATTACAGTGACGATTAATAATGATAATCAACTGCAGGGGAAGTTGTGGGTTGATAAAGGACAGGGAGATAATTGTAGAGAATCAGTTTCTTACTTCAGCTCTGCACATCTCTTTTCTCCTCTGGTTCCCCCGGATCTCCAGACCTCAAGAGCAGACCCCAATGTGTAGAGGGGCTCAGGCAACCACTGGCATTTGAAAATGCCTGATCCTAATACTGCACTGAGGCCAGCATCCAGGGCTGCCCTTCACAAGTAAAGGACCTCACATGTGTCCGGGAACCCTTAAAATGGACAACTCCGAACTCGAACTTCAATCATTAGCCATCCTTCTGGACAGTCAGCTTCTTCTAGGGAATCAAACACGGAAATCAGGTAACTAACCAAATGTTCCACTTAGTACTTAAAAAAATCAGGAGATATGGAAATTTGGAGGCTTGATGCAAATCTTTTTGGAAAGTATCACAAACCAACCTTAAAACATAACCCCCATTAGTTGATCTTGTGCAAACTTATTATAAAAAACATAGTTCTTTCTAAAACAGGAATCAAAAAAGAAGAGATAGAACTAGCATTTTTTTTCTTATTTCTGCTATCAGTAACTCAGGTTATAGAGGATTTCTTGGCACAAGGCAGCTTGATTCTATTCCACCTTAAGTAATGAGGTGAGAAGGGAAAAAAAAACAGAGATCTCTTTGAGGAGAGGCTAGTTGGGCAAGTTGCCCAATCAAAGGAAAAATAAAAACACACCAAGGATTTTGTCGAAGAACAATAAACCGAGAAACCTGTAACACTGATTTCTGAATGCTATCATGGGGTGGGGTGGGGGGCCCATAGGAAGAATCTCTTCCTTTGCTTTGGGCAAAAGATCTGATTTGGACTTCTTCTTACTCATAATCTCCCAGCAACAGGAGAATTTAAGGATTGCTTCATATTTGCCAAATGGCTTTAAAAAAAGTCTTTTCTATCCTATAATTATGCTCTAGCTCCAGCCAAGGGAATTGAGGCTATGAGGCATACTTCACTTGTTTGGGGCTAGTTCAAACCTCCTCTTCCCTCTTCCCAGGGAACATCTGAAAAGCATGCCATAACAAGGTCTCTCAGCATACCTTTCTTTCACGTAAGTATCGTCATGTAATCTTAGAGTCAGCAGGAAACCCCCAAGGAGACACTGCTGGGGTCCTGCCCAGATCACCTGCAACGCACCGGTGCGCCCACCCCCATGGTGCTGGGAGCGTTGGCTGCTAACAGCGAGATCCACCCTCATGGCTGGGGTGGTGGGCCACACATTCCCTGCTGAATTAGCAGAAATAAGCGGGTACCAAGAGCTGGCTCCTTTACCTTGAGGCAGGATTTATTCTGTGGTGCAATCCACGTCTCAGAATTCTCCGTGGAAGCGAACTGGAGCTAGAATACAGCTCACGCCCTGTGCTCGCTCAGCAACCCTTCCCTCTCCCAACCCACTGCACCCCGGCAGGCGGCCCTGAGAGCACACCCACATGAGCATCCTGTCTCAGGCTCTGCTTCTAGGGAACCTGACCTGTGACACTTCAGGAAGCCTATGGAAGCAAATTGACACCTATTATCTTTAATGTGCTGTCTTTCGACATCTACCAATTTGGCCAATTTCATGTGTTTAGACAAATGAATATAGCATAGACACTAAAAAAATAGCCTCAAGATTACATTTTATGCTTTCAAATTATGGTGCTGGAGAAGACTCTTGAGAGTCCCTTGGACAGAAAGGGGATGAAACCAGTCAATCCTAAGGGAAATCAACCCTGAATATTCATTGGAAGGACTCATGCTGAAGCTTCAATACTTTGGCCACTTGATGTGAACAGCAGATGCACTGGAAAAGACCCTGATGATGGGAAAGATTGAAGGTGAAAGGAGAAGAGAATGGCAGAGGATGAGATGGTTGGATAGCACCACTGATTCAATGGACATGAACTTGGGCTAACTCCGGGAGATGGTAAAGGGACAGGGAGGCCTGGGATGCTGCAGTCCATGGGGTCACAAAGAGTCGGACACGCTTAGTGACTGAACAACAAGATCACATGGTGAAGGCAGACAAACGTCCAGCAGTTTGCACCTCCTACTTGGGCATCCAATTGAACAGACAAAATCACTTCTCTACCCCCCAGACCAATTTCCCAACACAACGAACAGACCAGATCAGGTCGCAAGACTAGCTTCCCATCTGTACGCTCACACGTGGATCAAGGCCAAGACCCTGATCTTGGGTTCTGCCAGAGGCAGATTCTGTCCCTAACACGATACAAACCCTGTGTAAAGCAAGCTGGCTCTGTGTTAATTACTGTTTAATACATGCCAGTCCCACATTTCAATTCACAGGATTAAAAAGAAACAGCTCAGGCAAAGGTTCAAAGGGGCACTGCTCCCGTGTACTCTGAGCATCCTGTGTGATGCTCTGAGCCTGAGTCCCGTCACATCTTCTGCCCCAAGAATTAAAACCACAAAATCCATCAACAGTTCCCACCAGGACGAATCTATGTTTTCTCAGGAAAGGAAAGTTCCTTGACTTAAAGCTGTCCAAGGGGGAGAAACATCCTTCTCTGGTGGCCCAGTGGTTAGGATTCTGTGCTGCCAATGTAGGGGCACAGGTTCCACCCCTGGTTGGAGAACTAAGATCCCACATGCCGCATGGCATGTCCAATAGATAAATAAAATACATTTTTTAAAAAGCCTTCCAAGGCAGAGACTGTCTCTCCCCAGAGCTCCTTTTCCAGTGATGGGGTCTGCACTTGCTGGCACTTGCCTGCCAGCTCAGATCTGGGTGGTTATAAGGCTCGGAATGGGTGGCAGATGGGCAGGCAGCCCCCTGGCTAGCCTTCTCTTAAGACTCCCCTGGCAAATGGGGAAGTTTCCTTTCCTACAGTTGTTAGTGATGTCAGTTTTCCTGCAAGTTTTGAAAGCACTGTCTTTCTTCTACATTTTTGCGCTCCTAACAATACCGTGAGTTAAAAAGTTGGGATGTCCCCGGTGACAAACGATCAGCTCACAGCTGCAAAGCTCCTGAGGAACACAGCTGAACTCGGCCTACCAACCGAGTGAGGCTTTCCCTGAGACACAGACCCAGCTCCCAGTCACAGTCCGGCCACCCGCTTCAACCCTCAAGTCAGGAAACTTCTGCCCAAGAGGGTAATAAATATCCATGTCACAATATCATTGTAAGGAATTAAAAAAAACCATAGCATAAGGAAAACTCGCAGCACAGAGACAGCCTGTGCTGTCTATGAATGGTCTTTCCCCTTGGGGTCCTTTGCTTTCTCTACTGTTTCCACCAACCAAAGTTCAAACCCAAAATGGTGGAAAGGGGGTGACTTCTGAACCCAATGAAAGAAAAAGGTTTGAGGAACGCTGTTCAAACTGTGATGCGGGCCTGATGGCCCTGCCAGAGGGCATCCCCAGGGGACCCCACAGTGGCCTACCTGGTGGTCGTCCGGAGGGTGTTTTCTTTCTGAGTGTGCTCTTTGCTCACCTTCTCTGTAAAGAGAGAGGATGAAACAGACATCTCTTAGGTTGTTTTGACTCAACCTGTGTGTTTAAAGCTGAAGCAGAAACACCATCCACACCTCTTTCTCTCTTGTGGTTTTCTTTTGGTTTCTCTTTCAAGCATTCAAACCCTTCCTGTCTTACTGGTAAAGATAGGCAACAGAAGCATGTCAACAGCACCTACCAAAATAGTTTATTAAAAACCAATCAAAGGGAAAGAGTTACTAACAAAGCACAAGCGTGTGTCTAATTTTCATCAGGCCTCAGTAAGTACATGTACATACCACACACACACACACACACACACACACACAGAGATGTGCACAAAGATAGTTATTTCGATTATATTTTCCCCCCAACTGAAAAATGTCTGCTTTTCTCTGATTCAGCATGAAAACTGCAGTTGTTGCAACTGTTCCGCTTCTGACTTTGATGACAACCTTTAAGCATTCCGTATTGTCAGGCCCCTTTGTGAGGCAGGCTATAAAAACAGTCGTGAGACCTCTGGGTTTGAGAGTCATTGAGCGCTTATTCTGATAAATGTCACAGTGGACAAAAAAATATCATTCGACGAGGGGAGGTAAACTCTCCCTTACTCCGTCTTGAGGTCTGTATCTACCAGCTGTCAGAAATTATTTAATTAGCTTTCAGGAGCACAAAAGTTGACCTCTGGTCTTCTCTAACCAGTTCAAATGTGAGGCTTCTGACTGTCACAGCTCTCAATGGCTTCTTTTAAGTCTCCAGAGGAAACCTGGCCACCTCTACAAGGGTTTCAGATATCCACGGCAGGGCAAGTGAAAAACCCCTAATCTCATGGATTCGGGGAGGAAATGTAAACAAAGATTAATGCTATCTTTCCCATGCTTTTAAACACTGGTCTGAGGCTGCTGCATGCATGTTTGCTTGGACGATTCCTTTCTGTCCGCTCAACAGTGGCAATGAGGGTGAATTTGGATTCACAGGCAGGGTTCTTTGAAAGAGCAGGAAATCGGGGCTAAATGACTTGCTTGAGGTCACCAGGGCATTCAGTGACAGCGCCAGAGTGAGAACTCTCAGACACAAAGTTTTGAGCTGATAGTAGACCGTGATAATGTACTGCTGGAGATAGAGACTTCTTGAAAAGAACCATACTGGCCTCACTTCTGCAAATTTGAACTGCCAAATCACTCACAAAATTACATTGTTTTTAGAGATGCATTCAGCCTGTTTTGCTTTTTTTTTTCTTTTAAGAAAAACATCTTGCATGTTTGGAGCATCTTTGGAACTCGCAAAGAACTACATGGCCTATTCAGTTTACTGACTTCACTATTTCCACCTCTCTGAGCTCTGCACAAACACAGTTCTTGTTTGAGAACCCAGAGCCATCACTTTCAGCACCAACCAGTAACTTCACAGCTATGGGTGGTGTCACAAGGCTAGTGAGAAAATGAGCTATCAGAATGGCATGCAGATCCTAGCTTCTTTCCTTTTTCTGGGGTTTTTCTTAGTGGAGAAAAGTTAGCATTTAAATAAATGTGGCATTTAAATAATGGGTGTTTTAAATCTGCAAGTCACAGCAAAACAGAGTTTATGAAATATCAGTGACAAACGCTACTGATGCCTGAATTTCAGTATGTAGGCTAATGCTTGACCAAAGATAACGTATCTGTATTTCTATATAAGTCTGAATCTTGTATGAATCTCCTTCATTCATCTCAATCACATTCAAACAGTAACAGCACATTAAATTTGATAACAATGAGGATGCTGTTTGAAAGAGGTAATAAAGGGAACAACTTAGGTTCTAGGACCCTTACCTATTCTTTTAAGACATTTAGCTGAGCTAGCAACTGACTTCTAGACTTTGAATTCTAAGTAGTCGAAGTAGAAAAGGTTGGTTTACAGAAAATGTTCTACTAGGTTATAGCTGGGGAAAGAGTCCTTACAGTTTCATCTTTTACTTTTCTCTTTCCTTGACTTTTTGTAGGAGCAAGATATAGTAAAATCTCATTAATTCCGACCACACTACTTTGGAATTCATGGTAGTTCAGCCGCTGTTAGAGTAAATTGAAGTTAATCTTTGGCACATTAGGAAAAAAAAGAAAAAAAAAGGCTGTTAATCAGATGAACTGCCTAAACAAAACTAGAGGTGAGATATTTCATCCATGCAACAGGGGTCTTTTGCATGGAACTGAATAGAGTTCTAATTTCAAATGATTCTTAACTATTTATTAAAGAAAGTTTGCCAGGAGTTTGACTTGGCAACATCTGATGGACTGTTCATTTGAGTGGCGGAATCCATGTTAAACTAACAAAATGGATTTCTGTCTAAAAAAGCCTATAATGCAGCTGTTTTTTTTTAACTTTGTTAGAGTGGCTTTCCCTCAAATCAGTCTCAACTATTGACATTTTGTTTTTACACTGCAAGAAAACATACCTGACAGTTGAAAAAGCAGCTCGGAAGCCATCTTCACGGAGATGTCCTGACTGAATAGGTTTCTCTCCGGGGGCACTCTGCCTTCTGGCAGCTTCTGCAAGGGTTCCGTTTTCTCTCGCCCGATTAAAGTGCTGTAGCCAACGTTGCAGCTGGGTGAGATGGAGACCTGCGAGTCCGGGATGTCAACCTCCATAGGTTCCTCTTTAATCTTCACCATCTGAGTGTCCTTGTAGCTTTCCGCTGCAAACAGGTGAGTGAAGAACAAAAATGCTAGAGTTTCTTAATTCTGAACCAAACCCAGTCTTTCATCACGGAGAGAACTACAAGGGAGCGGTTAAGAAGAAAGCACCAGGGCTTTTCAAACAAAGTTTGAAAACCTTCCAGTTTAACCTTATGACCGACCTAGCAATCCTTACTCCTGGGCATATGCCCTGAGAAAACTGTAATTCAAAAAGACACATGTACCCCAAGGTTCACTGAAGCATTATTTTCTTTTTTTTTTTCCCATTTATTTTTATTAGTTGGAGGCTAATTACTTTACAATATTGTAGTGGTTTTTGTCATACACTGACATGAATCAGCCATGGATTTACATGTGTTCCCCATCCTGAATGTCCCTCCCACTTCCCTCCCCATCCCATCCCTCTGGGTCATCCCAGTGCACCAGCCCCGAGCACTTGTCTCATGCATCCAACCTGGACTGGTGATCTGTTTCACACTTGATAATATACATGTTTCAATGCTGTTCTCTCAGATCATCCCACCCTCACCTTCTCCCATAGAGTCCAAAAGTCTGTTCTGTACATCTGTGTCTCTTTTTCTGTCTTGCATATAGGGTTATCATTACCATCTTTCTAAAGTCCATATACATGCATTACTATACTGTATTGGTGTTTATCTTTCTGACTTAACTTCACTCTGTATAATGGACTCCAGTTTTATCCATCTCATTAGAATATATTAATATATTAATGATTCAAATGTATTATTTTTAATGGCTGAGTAATATTCCATTGTGTATATGTACCACAGTGAAGCATTATTTTCAATAGCTAGGACATGGAAGCAACCTAGATGTCCGCCAGCAGATGAATGGATACAGAAGATGTGTATACAATGGAATATTACTCAGCCATAAAAAGGGATGAAATAGGGTCATTTGTAGTGCTGTGGAGTGAACCTAGGACTCTGTCATACAGAGTGAAGCAAGTCAGAAAGAGAAAAGCAACTTATCATATAATAATGTATATACATGGAATCTAGACAAATGTTACTGATGAACCTCTCTGCAGGGAAGGAGTGGAGATGCAGGTGTAGAAAGCAGACGTGAGGTCACAAGGTGGGGAACAGGAGGGTGGGGTGAACTGGGAGGGCAGCACTGACACATAAGCACTATCAAGTGTGAAACAGGCAGCTAGCGGGAGGCTGCTGAGTAGCACAAGGAGCTCAGGTCGGGGCCCTGTGATGACCAAGGGGGTTGGAGAGGCGGGGCGGGAGCGAGGCTCATGAGCGAGGGCATTCATGCACACATATGGCTGACTCACTGTGTTGTACAGCAGAAATGAACAGAATATTGCAAAGCAATTATACTCCAAGTTTTTTTAAAAAAAGAAAACTAGTTTAACTCATCTGACTTCCGGAAAAGGTAGGAAACGGAAGCTCAGAGAGGTCATGTGACCTGCTCAAGGTCACACGAATAGCAGCAGAAGTAGGCTGAATGTCTCCAGATCTAGAACCAGGTTTCCTGACCACAGTCTCGTGATCACTTTCACACACTATTTCTTCTCTGCCGTGCTGCCTCTAGAACATATGGAGAACACAGCAAATACCTGCCCTTGTTTTATAACACACTCAGATTCAGTGAAGCAAGTAAGAGCGAGCATATTCATACTATGATTTCCTCCCCCTCTTTTGAAAGCTCTGATCAATATATTTTTCTTTATTTTCCAGAGCACCTATATTAATAAAATAAATAGGGTTGATGCAACTGAGACATTTATACCTTGCTGGGAGCTAGTAATCCTCAAGACCACCTAGGAAGTTAATTGCAGCCCAATGATTAACACTTAGAAAAACAGCAATCCTACAAGTTATAATAACAGTTCAACCTGCTGACTGCTCTAGCTTTAGGTGTGGCTATTGAACATTTGGTCTCTAGGTTGAAACACACATTTACTTTGGAAGGCTAGAGTGTCTTTATGGACATGTGTTCCTTAGAGTTAATGAGAGAACACCCTGGAAACAAGGTGGGACAATTAGCCCAGCCATTAATTTGGGTCACTTTGAAATAAGGCCACACTTTCAAATCAGTAAACATTTGTTAGCTATTACTGTACACTGTACACTCAAGCATTCTGGAAAACCTAAAAAAAACCCCAAAAGGGCTAGATAGATAGATGACAGACTGGATTACCGAGGCAGGCCCTGAATCCAACGACAAGTGTCCATATCACACGCAGATGAGGATGGAAAAGGCCACGTGAGGACAGACCCTGTGCTGGAGACCGAGTGCTGGTATTAACATGTGGAAGCCTAGTCACCAGTGTGACAGTGCTTGGAAGTAGGGCCTTTGGGAGGTGATCAGGTCATGAGGAGCCATCCCCCACGCACTGCATTCCTGCCCTTATGAAGAAAACCCCGGAGAGCTCCCTTGCCCCTTCTTCCATGTGAGGACACAGGGCAAGGGTGCCTGACAGTGAATCAGGAAGAAGGCGCTCATTTGACCACACTGGCACCTTGATCCTCACCTCCCAGACGCCAGATCTGCAAGAAATACACTGCTGTTGTTTACAAGCTACCCAGGCCATGATGTTCTAGTACAGAAGCCCAAACAGACTAAGACAGAGAGACTAGAGTTTTGCAGTCACAAGCTAAGGACTGCCTGGAGCCAAAAGAAATCTGGAAGGAATGAGGAAAGATTCTCCCCTAGAACCTTCAGATTTCAGACTGCTGGCTCCCATTTCTGTTGCTTTCAGCTACCAAGTTGGTGGTAATCTGTGATGGATGGATGGATAGATAGATACATACATACTGGGTTGGCCAAAAAGTTCATTTGGGTTTTTCCTTAAGGTCCTAAGGGAAAACCAGAATGAAAATTTTGGCCAGCCCAGTGGGTGGATAAATAGACAGGTGGACAGAAAGACATAAGAGTAAGAGGCAATAGTAAGCAAGTGCAGATCTATGGGACAGTTAGGAGATACGACAGGGAAATCTCATTGCTCTAAGTGGGCTAGTCAGAGAAAGCTAGGCTCTCCTTGCCAAGTATGAGGCAGGTGAAAGTAAAGTATATGCAGACTATTGATTTGCAATAAAGAAGATAGAGGAGTATTTTTAATGGAACGAAATTAATAGGATGCTACCCATAAGATTTCATGTAAGAAGTGTGCTAATTGTGCTTTTTTTCTTCCTGACGTATTACACATGCTTCTCAGAGAAAACGACCTGATTTTTGTCAGCAACTAAACTACAGGCAACAGTTTTATTTAATTAAGATCCCTCTCCCCACATTCCTGCCAAGCTTTTTTTTTTTTTTCTGTTATCTTTGCATGTCTGTGATGCTCATAAAAACCAAGTCCGTTGATTTGATTATCCTAAAAAAAAAAAAAAGAAAAGAAAAGAAGAATATAAAGCTTTCCAAGTTACATGCCTGGCTTCTACGCCTTTACTTCTGGCCCATCTGATTCTTTCTTGAGTCCTGACTGCGCCCCCTGACCCCTTAAGGGATTTGGGGACTTGACAGCTATCCTGACCTTCCCTTAGATCACCCATAGGTGCAGTCACCACACACAGTGCCCTCTTTGTGTCCCCTCAAACTACTCAGGATTTGGAAAATAAACAGTGGGGTCACTGTCACAGGTACATAATGATGTCTCTGAACCTTGCCAGTCATTCCAAGGCCCGAGGACAAATACAAAGGGATGCTAGAAAGGGATTCATTTCATTTAAAAAAAAAAAAAAAACTTAACAAACAAAAAAAGAGCAAAGCTAGAAAGAAGCTCTATTATTTATCTCCCCCAAACCCCCTTTCCCCAGCTTTGCCCCTGGATTAAAAATCACCTATTTCCACTCCTGGATTTAAGGAAATCAGTTTTGCCCACCAGCTTTCAAATGTTTTATTTTTCATATTTTTAAACATTTTAATACAACAAAGATAAAAAATAATATGTTAGTTAAATCTGGATTTAATTTAGAATCAAAATATTTACTGAAATACAACACCGTGCTTCAAGGTATGGCTAACCACAGGAACTATCACATCTTCAAGTAACACTAAAATTACTTGAAACACTAAAGTAACTCTTGAAGTTTCTCTGCAGCTTGGGTGACATTTAGGCAGAATTCTTAGAAGAAAAATGCCCACTTTCTGCTGTGTGCTTAGTCGATCAGTTGTGTCCAACTCTTTGTGACCCCATGGACTGTAGCCTGCCAGGCTCCTCTGTCCCTCGGGATTCTCCAGGTAAGGATACTGGAGCGGGTTGCCATGCCTTCCTCCAGGGGATCGTCCCAACCCAGGGATTGAACCCAGATCTCCAGCATTACAGGCAGATTCTTTACCAAGCCCAAGCTAATTTTGCTTCCCCCATTAGGTGCCAGTTCCATGCCCTTTGTTTCATATCAAAAATACTTCAGTCATCCTAACAATTCATAGATGCTCTGAATAAAAGATTGTTAAATTCAAGCATTTTAAAGATGATATTACTAACTGGTAACATTACTTGGCTAGTTCAGAGGACCCAATAGTTCAGATTGAAACAGACCTGAAATAACAATGAAATTAACATAGGATTCCTTCTCCCTCCATACTGGGCACAAAGCTTCCTCATGTTTAAACATGCGTACACTGAATAAAAGTCCGCTGGCTATTTTAGGGTAGAACATATTCTAAAAAACCAACTTTGGGGGGGAGCTGAATTATGACTTATACATTTCACAGATGTTTTTATTGAACTTAATGCAAAATAATAGGCCACATTTTAGTTACTTGAAACTGGTGGCATTTACTGCGGGGTGAGGAAAAGGTGAGAGGGGAACCACGGTCATTTCAGTCACTCAAAGCTACTCAAAGACAGAGAAGGAAAACACCTTCAATCTCTTTCCTTTCTCATTGGTCACCTGAAGCAATCTGACTTTTGATGTTACTAACAAATCAGTTTTTTAAAAGCTATTTGGGATAATTTCAAGTATGATTTTTCCATGAAGTGCTTTCTTTTCTGTCTTATGACAACTCTTGACCTTTCAAA